ATTCTTTGGGATGGGAAAATCAAGTATTGCCTTAAGATATTTCTGACAAGGGCGGACGTTATCTGGAGTTATCTCAAAACCTGCAAATTCAACTGTGCTTTCAGCAAATACAATTTTTTTCGGATTTAAAGTAATGCCATTATTGCCACATAAATCTAGCCACTCAACTGCTTGGAAAAAGCTAGACTCGATAGTATCAGACCATAGTAAGACATCGTCTACACACTTTGTCTTGTTTTGGAATGCTAGAAACAAGCTCATCATACCGCCTAGTGTATCCGTCACCAGAGGCTATATAGCCTTGTGGGGCTGTTTTGTAGCGGTACCGTCCCCAAGGAGTGATAAATGTTGTTAAATGTCTATCTTCCTGTCTAATCGGTACACTATGGTAACCATTCCAGGCATCAAAGACTGTTTTTAATTTACCCTGAGGTATGGAACGGGCCTGATGGAAAGGGGAAGGTGTGTGGTGGGTCTCGCGAGTAGCATGAGCGTTAAGTTTTTCTGAAAGTTGACTGTACGTCTTGGTTCACCATTTTTCTTGGCATAGACCACCATTCTATGGCACCATGTGACTGGTTCGCCTACCGGGACTGGTTCAATGACCCCAAGGCGTACATCTTGATCTAAACCAGCTTTTGCTTTATCTCGCCAATGAATAGGTACAGGTATCGGGGTATGATAGGCCACTGGTTCAGCGCTGGGATCAACCATCAATTGCATGGGAGGAACATCCATTAATGGTAGGGGCTGATGCTCACAGATATTAAAAGAACTGGACTTGTAATAGTCTAGTAAGAAATCCCTTAAACGGGGAAGATTTTCTAATGTTCCCGGGTATGGCATTTTAAGGGGAGTTGGAGGGGGTCTTTGGCGCCTAGGACAGCCACATGTGTTTGAGTGCTCTTCTACTTTCGAAATTTTGGTGGGTGTATAGGCTGGTTCGAACCCTATCGTAGGGAAGTTTACGGGGATGATGCCCAGTTCAGAGCATGCTTCTCTACTTAAGAACAATTTGTCTGAAGCATCCGTGACATAAGTCATCTGTCTAGTTTCTACCGTCCCTACCCCTATATGGTCAATGGCACTTAGGCGTAAGACTGTTGCGCCAAGAATCTTGATGCCAAGATTGGTGGCTGTGTGCATTTGCATGGTAACAGGGATGAGATCGAACCCCCGAAGACCTAAGCGATGTAAAACTTTAAGCCCTGTGAGACAACTTTGACACCCTGTGGCAGCCATGGCAGGTAGAACCGTAGAATAATTGTGTATTGAATTAAGCTTAAAACCGAGAGCAGTATAGTCATCAGGTAAGACCTTAGCTAAAACATTTACAAATGGTTGGCCTTTGGATCTACGCTTAACCCAAGTATCTGAAAGTTTATCGTACACATGGTGATCAATGCATAATGAACTATTATTATTAGAATTATCAAATATATCAATGTCAGATATTGTACATAGAGTATCAAATACAGCTGCACTTTCAGATTTTTGTTTCTTGCTGCGACAAACGTTTTCCATATGATGACTTTTGTTACACAATCCACACACGTGACCATATGCCGGGCATCCATCACGACGAACACGAGCTGGGGCACTCTTGCCATGGCCCTTATTTCCACAATATGTACAAGTGTCTGACTTGTCCCTCTGCCTGTTTTTGTCCTTCTTGTAAGAACTGCTAGTAGCTTCAACTGCGTAAGTATCAAGAAGTCTAGAAGCAGAGCCTTTTTTCTGCCTCTTTTGCCTCTATGAACTGAAACACCTCCTCTAGGCTCATGTCCTGGTTCTTGTTACCTAGAAGGTCAAGCTGTATATCCGGATCTACTATTCCTCTAGTTAATGAATCACGAAGTATAGCGTCAGTGTAGTTGACATCATTGTTGCATGAGGGGCATTTCATTATAAATTTGCAAACACAAGCCTGTCCACGGAGGCGTGCCCCAAAGCTGCGAACAGTATCATCACGATCCTGACACATTTTCTTTAATGTCACTCTGGCCACCATTGTGTTTTCCTCTCTTACGGCCAGTTTTCGTACGGCTGTTAGCACTTCAGCTTCAGTTTTCTCAGTGAGGCTACCACCTGTTGACCTAGTTAAGTCTTTGCGGAGTGGTTCATCGCAACATTCGAGTAACTGAATCACTTTATCGCGACCGACAATTTTTGTTGCTGCAACATAATCTGCCCACCTTGTCTCAAAGTAAGACCATTCTTCACTTGTGCCTGCAGCACTGATTGATGGTCTCCTGACTTTCTCGACTTTCGCAGTAGCAGATGGTGTTGTATGAGTCAATGAATGTGTCGTGAGCAGTGCTGCGACTATAGGCGCCTCAAGGTCACCTGTTTCGAACTCACATCCAGGAATAGGACATTTTACCACTGGCATTCTTGATTGTAGTTAAGCTGCTTTCACATCGGAGACATTCGTGTTCATAAATAAGAACGTGGTCTATTTGTTTATCTTTATTTGGAAACAATGAACACGATCTGAAAATACAGAGAAGAACAAAACTTAAGACTGAATGTAGAGTAATTATAATATACAAATAATTGGAAGTTTCAATCGGTATATACTGATATTGTATCATAGTTTGGGGACCTTTCTGTTGAAAAAGTGTCAGAGTTAAATCGTATACATATACATGCACAGTGCGGTAACTGGAGTGCGGGTATCAGTTACCCGCACTCCAGATAATGCCCGTTGATTGGTTCATTTTTGCTGGGGTTTACATATTGTGACGGCAGAGAAAGGGAAAGGGGCAGAAATATCATATTCAAATGCTCGTTCATTGGTTATTTTTTTCTGGGGTTTCATATTATGACAACAGGGAACGTGCTGTCATGTTTGACTATGATACAAAAGAGAAAGAACACCAAAACACTCGGCAATCTGATTTATACTCGGGGGCTACGCCCCCTCGTACAAATCAGATAGCCTCGTGTTTCGGTGCTCTTTCTATTACTAATTGTACTTAATGATTACCTCGAAATAAAGTTTACAATGTCAGATTCTTTCTTGTCCGGATTTTGGTATTACAAGGAGCGTGCATTCAATAAGGGGAAATCACCCTTTACATACTTAAGACTAAAAGTCGTACTGTGCCGTACAATACCGTACATAAATGTAAATAATCCTATATTCTAAATCTAAAATTCAGTAAAAAAAAAACAATTTACATTGTCAGTAACGAAATCATTGAGTACAATATAAATTGTTCCATGTGCAAGTTGTTTAATTTGGCTTCAGACTCCAAACTTTCACACAATGAATGAACCAATGATCTATATAAATGACCCTTATACTTTCATACATTCATACATTCATATTGTTTGACCTTTTTGTGACCTTGACCCCTGAATATTGCGCCAAACATTCCGGCTTACATTCGTGAACATTTGTGCCAAGTGGTATAAAAATTCCCCTTTGAATGTAGAAGTTTTGCTCCTAACAAGCGTTTTTCAATGAGGTCTAAATGTGGCCTTGAACGTTGACTCAGACACCTGAATTATGCGAAGAGCAATGCAACTCATGCTTGTAGGAGATATGTTTCAGACAAAATTTGGATATTTCATAAGCTTTCGTGACCTTGACCTTGTACATGAAGCGTCAAAGCCATAGTCATGATATTGTCAATAGTTGTTTCTATTCCTCAATAAATGATGACTAAATAGTCCCTATACACATCTACACACAGGTACCTGAAATAAGGGAGCAATATTTCGCCACACTGGGGTGAGCATTTGTACCAAGTTATATTGAAATCCCATTACTGAGAAGTTTCTTTAAAATACCTTGATGCATGTAAGAGATCTGCTCCGGACAAAATATGACCATGCCCGCCAAAGGCGTTCACATAATACGACCCGTTTTTCGAATAGAGCCAAATAGAGCCAAGGACCATTGTTTATAACAAATCAACTTCAAGCGAAAAATGTATATTATGATAAAAAGTGTCTATAGATATGGCGTTGTTTTCATATTTGACAGTGTAACAGTACGAAATTTGACCTCTTTTGTATGAGGTGCAGAAATGTTTGCATAGTTATTTGTCGGCATGTAATGAAGCCTTTAATTAATTGTGTGTTTTCCAGGGTTAGCCTTATATCACATAGCCTGTAAGAATTAAGGTACTGTTTAAGTGGATATTTTTGCGTCACAAAAATTCTGCGAATGTCAAAAAGTCGACTGTTTGCGTGCGGAAATATTTGCGAAAATATGATTTCTTGAATTTAATACTGTTTTTATGGTTTTATTATTAATATGATACTGGAATATATTAGGGGTTATTAACCTGCGTTTTTTTTTTAATTAGTATGAACAGAAACTAAATATAGTCCTCGGTGCAACACCCAATGTTCACCGGCCATACGACGGACAAACCGTACCAAGGCCGACCGTAGATTGAGACAGGGCAGACCATGTTTTTTGATAGACTTTGATCAGTGTTGAAATTTTCTGTGTCGAATGGAAGTTTCTTTCCAAATCTGTATTGAAGGTCGAAAAAATATTGTGGTTACGTAAGTGTGAACACAACTGGACATGTTTCTAAATTTAAAATTTCACCATTTTCGTTGTTGTTTCAATGTTGAATACTGCTTAAGCCGGTGCGAGAAGGCATAAACGGTAACTTGCACTTTCCAGAACCGTCCATGGACAGGCTCAAACAAACCGAGCCTGTAACATTTTCATTTTTGCCGTTATGGGCTTTCGTTGGGGATTCGGTTTTTCTCTATTTTTTATTTGGTACAGAACCAGAAGAAAGTGTCTTCTGACAGGATTGTAATAATGTCTGTGATTTAATGTCTCGGTTCTTTCACGTCGAATAAGGTCACGCTATAACAGACTCAGTCCTTAACATATACTGTTCGGTATAATAAACGTACACGCAGCACTTACCTATTTAAAACATACATGTATATTCCGTTATCTTTAAACTATCGTAACCATACATATATCTTTAAATTAAACTTTATCATTTAGCAAATCATATGACATTACAATGTATATGACATGAACTGGAGATTCATGCAACATCTGTGTAGACATTTCAATAAGAAAAAGAAACAGGAGATTCCAGTGGCTGGTAATTTTTTAAATTAATTTCTACTTTCAATAATACATTTTATTTTATTTTTTAATTTTTAGCATTGTTTAGATATTATTATATCATGTTAGCGTAAAAATAACTTGTTGCACGTATTCATTATTTCTCATGTACAGACTCAATCAAACCGAGTCTGCAATTCTCCTGTAGTTTTGTTGTGATATCTGCTTCCGAGCACTTTGTTTTCACATTTTGATACGGTTGGGGACTGCTTTCTATAAATTTTCACTGTCCCTTGTTGTTATCTGTACTCGTATCCAAGATAGTTTTATGGAACAGAATAAAATAATAATATAAGTCTTTTTCAAAACAGTGTGTCATTATAAATATCACCACTCAACCGAGACAAGAGAGTTGACTCGGTTGACTATGTCTTGTCAAGGGTAGTGATATAACGCCTAGGTTATCTTGTCAAGGGTAGTGATGCAACGCCTAAGTGAATATTATTTTGTTAAGGGTATGATGTTATGTCTTTTTTGACATTTTCTTGTCAAGAATAGTGATGTAAAACTTCGGTTGATATTGTTTTGTCAAAGGTAGTGTTGTTATGTCTTTGCTGACATTGTCTTATACAGGGAATTGTTATAACGCCTTGGTTGACATTATCTTGTCATGTGGAGTAATAATATATCAAATGCATGTGTTTTCTAATTTAAAAACCTCAAGATTTTACGTCCCGATCCGAAATGTTTATATACGATCACGGATCTCGGGATTTCCCCAAATCTGAAAATTGTGCAGTGAATCTGAACGGCAAAATCTACTAGAGAATCATAACGATCCCGGATGACTTTACATGAAAATAATTGCAAATACGCCAAATTATAATAACGATTTGGATATTTTAATGACAACGACAAAACATTTTTGAAAAGGACATTGTAATAGTAAAAAGGTAGAAGGATAATTTTTTTATAAGTTTAAAAATTATTCAGCTAACAAGCCTGGCCATTTCATGTACTAGGTTTAACTATAAATTGATATAAATATTTGATGAATGGTTGTAAACTTATCTGAATGATTGACAATGGTGGTGAAGCCTATATCGAGCAGAACTTCCCTTACCTTATTTTGGGACTTTTTTATTGTTTGAAAACAATTTGCAATATAGCTTGAACTACGATGTGAAAAATAAAGCGGATAAAGTTCGCTTAATTGGTTTGATAATGTTTATTGTAACTATAATTATAATACATGTTAAATATGAATAACACAAAAAAACTATGTACATTGTCTAATTTGATCAATATGATTGACAGCCGTGACTTAAGGGGAGTGGTTACTTCATAATTAAGGTGTCTGCCACTCAACTCATGCATCATGGGTTTGAGTCCTAAATGGGTCACGACCACGTTTCTTCATATACTCCAGTCAATTTGTTAAAAAAATACTTCAGAAAATGGGAAAAGCACCAAACTTAATATAAATGAACTTTGGGCTATATAAGGACAAATGAGCAATGGACCCATTTTTGAAGATCAAATATGGCGGAACAAATTCATAATTGCCACTATACATGTTAATTTTTTTTTAAAAAAACGTTAGTTTTTACAGAATCAGCTTTATAATTCATTACATATAAGGATACTAAGCATAAAAGCACGAAAATGTTGTTATCAGTATTTAAATAGTGCCTTGTCTCCTTAAACCTATGATACTTTAAATATTTTATTATTTCTGTTTGTCATAAGTTTTCACGACTTTGGAAGTCAGACGAAATAAAATATTGTAGAGTTATTAAAATACCTGTGTCAAAAGATGTTAAGACATCCTTTCTAAAACATTGTTTAATCTTTTTGGTTTATAATATTAATTAATCACAAGGAAATACTTAAACAGATTAAACAAAGGTGATTAAAAATTCTAGTACGTGATGTTACATCAAAATGTACAGTTCAATGGTTACATTTGTGGAAAGCAAACTGACCTTAATCTGCACTATCTTATCTGCCCCTCAAGTCAGGTGCACTGCACGCGCTGCAATTTTATCTTGTTTAACACAGTTTATAAAGAAAATAGTGTAAATAAGAGGTAAACAAGCTAATGTATCAAAATTGATTAAGATGAGGCGTTTATGCCACCGTCACGCTATCCACCGTCACGCTATATGTCAAATTAAAATTCGGTGCCCCTAAGGGTGTTATGTGCCACAAAATATTATATTTGGTTGCAGTGGTGAATGACCTTTGGCCTCCGTTTGTGATCACGTTTTCTCATATTTTCAAACAATTATCTGAAAGGCATGTCCTGGTGAGTTTTTATTTAAATAACATTCCAAAGCCATCAACTCTCTGAAGATAAAGAGAAAATATCCTTTCAAAGCCTTGTAAAATGATATATTTTCCATATTTTATAAGTCATAGGTACACGGTGGCAAACATGCTTATTATCCTTATTCCAGTTTAGCAATTTTGTTTTAGAACAAGGTATGTTTCTTTTCCTGTTTAGTGTTATATTCATAAGCAACATAACTGAACTCTGTTGGAACGACTTCATTCCGTGAACGTTGCCCTCCGTGGTATATCGGTGTATTCATATTTTAGTTTCTCGTGGTTGTTGGAGCATTTTGAGTTAGGATAACAAAATTTTTGTCTAATGTTGTCTATCCTCTCAGGACAATGCTTAGCATAAACTAAATATGTCAGCTTTACCTTTAATAGGATTTCGTCAAATAGTGAGATATTTGATATCATTATGATACATGTAATAAATACCCATGAATCACCCATATGATTTCAAAATGCTGCGGGCTTGCGAAGCACCAAAACCCCCACTTTTAAATAACGCCGATCTATGATTTACTATTTGATGAAACAAAAAAAGAACCACTTTAAAACCATGAAAACTATGAATAATCAAACGTAAAATTTATGTGACATTTAATACATCCGACATCTCAATGTCTAAAGGACCGTGGATAGATAAGTTGCATTGTATTATAAAATGTGTTTAACATGAACTTTAGATAATATTTAATGCTTGGAAAATATTGTTCATTAAGCGTAAGGATATTTAGATACTTCCAGCTTGCCTTGCATTTACACGAATGTTTGTATGCCTTGGGAAATTCAAAAATGTCACCTTAAATAGTTCTTAAATTGTCTACAATCTATCCAGGAATTGCTTTAAGGCATATCTCATAGTTTATCTGACATGATACGTTTCTGTTTTCTGCTTCATCTGTAAAATGATTTTTGATAATGTCCTTTACCACGGTTTTAATGCCCTTTTATATCGTATTAATTTGACTTAATTAGAGCATTCTGAAGAATCCGTATTCGTACTTTTAATTCCTTATGTAACAAGACTCTTCAGTTATTGATAATTAAGCTTAATCACCTATTTAGGATTCATACAAATAAATTGAAAATGAGAAAATAATATAAAAAAACCTCAGAATTTATTAACTGATCTGTCTTGTCATTTAAATGAACTTGTTACCATGGAAACAGAAACAATAAATAACATTATAATTGTTAACTATTATCGTTAATTATAATTAATGCAAAGCTCTCATGTAAAGTGAAAACTGGTATTATTTCCAGTTTAATTGTAACTTCGGAAAATGGGAAAAGCATTTAACTTGGCTCAGATGTTAAGACGTAAGAAACCTTTTAGGCGTGGGACCCAATTTATATATGCCAAGATGGTTGCCATGGCTGCCATTACATGCAATAAACACATTTCTTATCCAGTATCTTTCTTATACAAATTGACTGGACTAATATGACACCAGTACTGGTTGGTTCCAGGCAGCGGACTCGAAATTGATGAAAGGTCAGTGGACATCATATTTTAGTACTTATTTTTATATTTGGTCGCATAGAACGAACATAAGTAAGTTTATTTTTCATAATTTAAGCATAAAATTTTCAGCAATTGTCTTAGTATTACCCTTACAAAGTCCGGTCTCACACATATGTAAGAAATGCTACCTGTTATGCAGGTGCGCCTTCGAACCGGAAGTGACGTACACATATCCCTATGTAAATTATTGATAGTTCATGATAACGATATTTTGCTGTGATTCTCGTTATATGATTTGCATAAATATTATACATGAACTTAATAAGATGAATTACTGATAGGGGTTCACTTGTAGTTCACCATTATATCTTTGACCAACAGCGACCGAGAAAATAACCTTTTACCTCAAAAACGATGATCAACTCGACGATGCTATCCCTTGTGCAGTGTTCAACTAGTAAAGTGAATTATTTTAATGGAAAAGTAAACACAACTTACATTTTTATATCCAACATAAAATATCACTTTACTCCAACATAAATATATATCTTAAATGTGTATTTTAAAACATTAACTAACTGCTTCCTTGGATTTATCGATATACCACTTTTTAACTAATACAAAGTGTATGGAGAGCTGTCCTAATCACCCCGGCGTTGGCGTCCAGCTTTCAGATTAAAGTTTTGGTGCAGTAAATATTTTTTTACTATAACTTTTTCATTTCTTCAGATATCGACTTCAAACTTCAAAAAGAAATGTGTTCCCCATCAACAGCCACATCTTATGTAACAAAGTTCGTAACCCTAGAAGCAATATTTTAAGAATTATCTCCCCTTGAACATAGAAATTTTCTTATTTTATTTTTATATTTTACTATTACCTTTTTTTTCTTTAGGGATCAACTTCAAACGTTAAATATTTCTTCCTTATCATCAACCACATCTTATATTACAAGGGTCTCCCCGCCCCTTGAACTTAGAATTTATGGTAAAGATATTATTTTTTTATTATAAGTAAGTTCTTCATTTCTTAAGTTATCTACTTCAAACTTTGAAAATGTGTTACTTATAACCACACGCATTATTTTATGACAAGATTCATAACTCTAGTATGCATTTTTCTAGAAATATCCCAGGTCTGAACGTGGAATGTTTTATTTTTTCTGTTTTTCTCTCTTACTTCCTTATTTCTAAAAGGATTTACTTTAAAATTCAAAAAGTTTCATATCAACT